TATTTCGCATTAATCATTGATATATAAAACATTATCTTTACACAATTTTTTGTGGCAACACCCACACCACTCTTTGTCACCATATGTTTCAAGCTTTTGGAACTATCTTGAACCAGTTCCCTGTGTAATCGAATGATGGTCTTTCATCGGTAATATAAATTGTTTTCGCTGTACTATATATTGCCGAAATCTCCTAGAGCCTGCCCTACCAGCTCTTTTAAAACACGCATTCCACCAGACTGAAAAATCTGAGACTTTCAATGCCAAGAGTTTCCGTTACACTCCGATCGTCATCACGTATCGCCGTGTACACCGGCCAAAAGCAATCAACCTCCCAGCCAAGGGGTGAAAGCTTTTCGGATTGATAGGGGTCGATTTGCTGAAGAAAGGGCAAGCGAAGCAGAATTATCAGGTTACAACCAAGAACAATAATGACAACTTCTGCGTAGGGCTTAGATTGCAAAAGACCGAAACATTCCTTCCTAAACTACCAGGAAGTACTTTTTATCTCCCGCTCTTGCTCTCTCTCTCTCTCTCTCTCTCTCTCTCTCTCTTTGTCTCTCCCCCTCTCTCTCACTCCCTCTCTCGCTCTCTCTCTCTCTCGCTCTCTGTCTCTCTTAAATACATTTAAATGTGAAAATTAGTGGAAGGTAATTATTTTGCGGAGGAAAAGATGAGATGGAATACCTGCATCTCCACTGCTGCCTCGAATTATCATGTTTCAAAAATTTGTCCATACCTTTCAAGGAAGTTCCATTTATTGTGCATTTTCGGCATTCATGAATTGTTTTATCTTATTTGATAGCTTATATTTTAACGCTGGACGCCAGGGTTGAAAAGTCGCGAAGCGGCGCGTTTCGGTGTATGCTGATTAATCCATAACAAAAAGGGTCCCGGATTTTTTAAGAAAAACTAAAATTTAATGTCGAAAATAGACGATTTTCATAAATTTGAATTTTGTTTCATGTTACAAACATTTTAAGGGTAAACGGAAATTATCTATTATTGTGATTTTGCACGCTTCATTTTTTGCACTGAACCAGCCACCGGCGAGACATCGTTTCGGGCGCTTGTCCGAGATGGTCTGCCTTGAGGCGAGAGAGAAAGAGAGAGAGAGAGAGAGAGAGAGAGAGCGAGTGTATGTGTGTTTTCGCTTTCAAGGGGCAGTGAAGACACGGCTACCGCAAACGCGCTTCACTTTCCGAACTTATTCTGTCGTTTCCCCCCAGTTTGGTTCTCTCTCTCTCTCTCTCTCTCTCTCTCTCTCTCTTCCCCATTGTACCCCGCGAGCGACTACCAAAACGCAATAAATTACCAAGCAGGCTGTCTGGAGTTTGATCGCTTGCATAACTCGGGAAGGTGCAGATGTTTCAAAACATCGAATTTAAAAAATTTTTTCCATATCAAGAATTGCAGTCGGTTTAATTGATTTATATACTTAAGCCTAAGCCAAACCTAAGCCTAAACCCAAGCCTAAAGCTAAACCTATGCCTAAGCCTAAGCCTATGCTTCAGTGGATATTTTTAAAGTTTTTTTTGAGGTAGTTTTACAGTGGCCGATCCCAAGGAATGCAGTTTCATTGCGAAAAGAATAGACATCTGTGATTTTGTACACATTAGTGCTTGCCGAACTTGCTGTCGACCACCTTTTGCATGGAACATTGATACGGCAAAATCGAGTCTGACGGGGAGGGACAATTTTGTTCTGTAGAATCCAATTTCTTTTAATAAAAATCAAGGCTAAAAACTTAAAAGATATAAAATAAATTCTAATTCTAATAATTTCTAAGCAGTTTTTATTGTTCTTACGTAAAAAAACCGCACGGTCTTCTATTACACATACAAAAATGGACATTTTTGCTGGCAAAAATTACCATTTCCGTTTTTAGATTGTTTTGCCGCTTGAAAAATTCCGACATTTTACTAAAAAGTCTATTAAAACAATTACTATCATTAGTACACATTGTCGTTTTTAAAAAACATTAGCCACCCCACAAATTTCAAAAATTACGTCAAAATCTTTCGGGCCTTGATCATTTCATGAAACACGTTTTCGCACAAAAAATTTGTACGAATTTTGGGGAAGTGTCAAGTGTATATTGTTAGATTCTCTCTCTTTTTCTTGTCTTTAAATAACGGATGCAAAGTGCTGTCTATTTGTGTGCCCAGCACAATGGACCCCTCGAACGAATGCCCCTCCAGCCTGCCCCCCTCGCTTTCTCGCCTAGATGACCGCCCATGATTAAATTCCGGGAATATTATGGGGTTCCTTTTGTAGGGTTTTTACGTTTTTGCCTTGGATTCGACTCATCGTTAGCTTTTTCAATTTTATTTTCAGTTCAGTTCTTTTTAGCTTTCTTTGGTCGTAACACTAGATTTCCCGAAATTAATTTATTCGATTTTCGTGAAAAACTTCAATTAAAGTCTGTGTGAAAAATCTGTCATCTAACAAAAAATTATCCGAAAATGGTGCGCTGTAACTGTCAAGGGAATTTTTATCCACCAATTAATCGAATTCCGGCGCTGGCCAAACGTTAAAAAGGCGAAACCGGCAGCGTTTAAATTAAAAATTTTTATTGTAACATATTCCTTGCCAATTTGCAGCTATTTCGATTTTAAGGTTATTTTCTGGGGCTGAGGTTTATTTGTCGTTGTCAGCTCCACGTCGACCTTTTTAACAGCAAAAATTTGCAAAAGCGAAAATTAAAGTTTCACAAATTTTTAAATAGCGTTAATCCGGGCAGTTCTGACTCGATATCCTATTACTGCGAAGGAAAATGGCCGATCATTAAATTTTGCGCATTTACATTCGGGCTTTCTTGCTGGGTTGATATATTTTTTTATTCTTTGCGTAATATATCGAAACATTTAAAAAATATCGAAATTGGCTACGTTTTTAGTGGCAAGTTAGCCTGCCTTGCGAACAAAAAAATGTTTCACCAAGTAGCAAGTTTAGCAAAAGCGGTGGCTAATAGGCTGACATTGGGCTCATTTTCACGAATTCGAGATCATTTAAAGTTAAGTTTTTAGCGTCTTTTATGCGTTGCGATTCCAACATTTACTCGGCGCTAGGATGTAGTATTTTCACGGCTTTAAAAAAGGTTTTTGTGCTTCGACGAAAGTCCATTTCCATGCAAAATGTTTTGTAACCTGATTTCCCGTTAAACTACACAAGGGGAAATCGCTAATTTCAAAAAATCCAAGAAAATAGGCTTTCAAGCATAAATTAATTAATAGTGGTAACTGAAACAACCAATTTTAAAGCGGAAAATCCGGTTTTTAAACGCCTGGGCAGGGTATACGCCTTCGAAATTGGCTAAAATTTCTTCCTAACCAAACGAAAGCGGTGGTCAATCGGCTTTGAAGAGATTTCATCGATTGGTAGATTTTTGGGATGATTTGTTCAATTCTAGCATCGGCGATTGAATTTTTTGAATTTCCGAGTTTGTACCATTCTTTCTAAATGTGCGTTTCGCTGACATTTTTAAGCACGAGCTCCCAGAAAATTATAGTTTTTGATGAAAATTATATGTTTCCACAATGTACAGGTTTCGCGCCAAATTTATTGCTCTAATTCCTGTACGGCGCCTAGGGTCGAATTATAATCACCTGATTTAACAACGTGCCGTGATCTTAATTTCCTAAAAACAATTTTCAGGTGCTTTCGCGTTATCGGGGGGGGGGGGGCGCATAATTTTTCAGCTCCGATTTTTCTAAAGCAAATGGAGAAAGCGTTTGCAAACTCTTTTCTACGGTTCTTAGATCAAAACCATCACAAATTTGATCAATACAAGAAAAGATTGTCGAAAAATTTAGGTTTTTTAGATCTTGTAGATAGTGTTCTACTTGAAATGCTAAATTCTACTAAAAAACTATTGAAATACCTACAATTAAATTACTAAGCATTTTAGACTACTAACACAAAAAGTTCGGCCTCCCCCCCGATAATGCCAAATATCCAATTTCTCTTTCTTTTCTGATCACAGAACCAATTCGCGTCGGTTTTTGGTCGTTTTTCGTTTTTCGTTTTTCTAGTCTCAAGAAAAAGCTGCTTTCCGGCGCTTCATAGCGGAAACTCGAGCCTCATTTCGATCTTTGGCACCAGCTGCGCGGGCAAAATTTCCTGTTTTTTCTCGGTGTGCGCTACCCGATTTTTCTTGTCTTTGGCGCGCCGTCAAGGTCAGTGTTTGAGAAAAAGGCGTGAAGCTTTAGGAAATTTATGATACAAATACCCATCGTCCCTCGCAGTATTATTTTGGTCAATTATTGACCTTCTTTTTGAGATAAAACATACTTTTTCAGAAATTCTCGAGAATTTTTATGCATTTTTTAAGTTTAAATTTCTTCATCTTCTAAAATTTTAATGTTATATTTTTAACGTTTTTAAAAGAATCCCTAAAATCCAAAATAAGAGTTCCTGGGAGAAAGGGAATTAATAGCACTCAGCGTGGCTACTCATCCTCTATTTAAAGTAAAACATACTATTCAAAAAATACGCAAAATCCCGACCGCTTCTTTATTAAAAAAATATTGAAATTTAGACAGTTGAACCTCGTTTAAAATACTTTCTAAAAGTTATCGAGAATTTTTCTGGTGCTTTTTATATATTAGATTTATGATAAGTTTAGAGTTTAAATCGAAAAGTGGAACTTGGACTTTATTTTTCATTTTAAAGCTTTATTACATCCCATCAATACATACGCAGATTAATAGTACTCACGTGGCTAAGGATCTTCTTTTTCAGATAAAACATGCTTTTTCGTAACATTCATCTGGACTAGATGTCAAAATTCTTCGAAGTTCTCCACTAGACTATTTTATTTATTAATAACATCGAAACAGTTGAATAATTTTTAGGGTATTCCAGGTTCAAAAAACATGTATTTTCTGACGGGTTTGTTTATAAAATGTGTGTTATTATTGTTCTCATTATCATTGTATAGCGCTTAGCTTTGTTGTCAATTTAATTCTAATATTTATCAATAATTTTTTTTCAGGTGTATGCGATTACTGTTCCCATTTTTGCTCACCGTCACTACCATATTCCTACGGTTATGTGAGAGTCGGCAGCTTCAGGTTAATATTCATAATTGAAAACTTAAATAGCATATAAATAAGTTCATAAAATAACATAAAAATAGCATAAAAATTTTAGCAAATTCTGAAAGTCGAAAAAATAAAAAAACGATATTAAATAATAATTAAATTAAAGTAGACGGAAGTGAAATAAAATAAAATATTAATAATAATAATATTAAGCAATTTCAGGCTCGCGTCTGGAAGCGCTCGGAGCCGTACTACTTCGAAAATGGGCGGATAAAGAGTTCGAGGTTGGTGAAAAATCACGTGTTTCGCGCCAAGTTGCTAATTCAAAATTTTCCAATTCGGTACTATTTTCACGATTGGGAAAAGCGAGTCAAGCATACCAAAAAAATCGAAAATCGGACAGAGTAATTAAAAAACCGCAAAGTTCGAAATAAAAAATGCGTAAGAAATTGCAAGGGTTCTTTTGCATTAACGGGGGGGGGGGGGTTCTGCATAAGGTCAGAGATTTTAATTGATGTATTTTAATGGTTTTTAGTAAAAAATAAATATATTTCAGCAAGGAGAACTATCTAAAAACTTCTAAAAAATTTAAGCCGGCATTTTGACCATTTGGAAACACTTCCGCTATTTATCGAAAAATTGGGTACTTTGAAAAGCTTTGCCCCCCCCCCCCCCCTCCCGATAATGCCATTGATCCAAAAAAGCGTGCGTTAATTGCAAGTTGCATCCGAAAAAACGTCAAATTTGGTAATTTAATTCAGACACCCATAATCTTCGAATTTTTGACGGAAAAAAATTGCGTTTCAGCTTTTTCCAGTAATCACTTTGAATTTTGATGCCTAATTTTGTCTTTTTGCAACCTATAATAATTTTGTCTTTTTAACGCGCTGCAGTATCACAGGGAAATTTAGGCCATATAAAAAACACTTTAAATTTAAAGCATATACACAATACATTATGTAAATTTCAACAATTTCAGGCGCCTCTACCGTCTCCACAGCCCGAATAGCGGGCGTGTCCAGGCGGCCCGCACATTTCATCGTGGCCACCGAAATATACACGCGCCGTTCACGAATGGTAATTGCTTTTGCATTATCGGGGGGCGCTTTAATTTTATCGGAAAAACGAATTTTTGTAGACAACTTGTGTTTGTGTATTATATGTGTTTTTTTTGAAAATTTAGTTATATTTCAAGTGGCAAAGTATCTAAAAATCTTTAAAATGTTGAATTTTGTCGAAAATTCAATATTTTTTTTTGTATTTTTTACTGAAAATTTACCAGTTTTGGCGTGTAAAATATTCAAAATCAGTTGCGAAAAATTGGTCGATTTAGGTTAGAAAAATTCGATTAAGCCTTTTTCCGCGCGCTTATCCCGCATTACTCGACTTGGCCAGATTTCCGACATATTTTTTTTGTAAAAATAAAGCAAATAAAACGAGGCTATTTTGTAAAAATATTGCATACATCAAAAAGAAACGCAATTATGAATAAGTGTTGCAAACGGTACGACCGTTGTAAGTAGTAACTCGACCGTTACGACTTTAAATCCATAATTTTGCTGATATATTCTTTTTATAAAGATGGCTCCCCGCTATCCCGATCGTCCGGCCGATTCTACCGCAAAATCGCCGCCTCGCCGACGCATCGAATTTCGCCGCAAAACGCTGGGAAAAATGGTAAACCTTGAATTCGCCGGCGATTCGATTATTTAATCGATTCTGAAAACGCAAGATTATAAAATAAGTATCGAAATTCCTCCCCATATGTATCGTAACATTTTTTCCAGACGATTGATGATCTTAAAAAATTAATGTCTTAATCGATTATTAAGCAGTAATAACTTTTAATATCTAAAATAGCAAATTAAGAACAAATGTAATTCCGGTTAGTGAAAAATCCAGATTATAAAAGAAGAATTGACTAAATCTATACTACCATCTACGAAAAGTACCAATCCGGGCGCCGAATCAAAACTCTGTTCTTGGTTAATGAATTTTTAATCAATTTTGTCTTTATTTATGCGTATTTTCTTATTTCTACGTTTTTCTGAATCACTGATCCTAATTGAGCGCTATTTTTTCGAAACATTTTTTCAAAGAATTGCTGATCGCAATGCAGCAAAAATGAATTCATTTGTTAATGACGTATATACGCGAATTTAACTGTTCCAAATCCGAAATCAATGACAAATGTAATTCTTAATACGTATAATCCGAATTATGTACAATATCGCAGCAAATAAATAACTGGGAAAATTGAAGAGACTCGTTGAATACTAATTAAAAATTGTGAAGATGCGGAATGATCCCATAACGAAGAAACCTCTACTTTTAAGAAAGAAGAAATTGAAAAAATTGGGAGGCATCTTGTTTGACCTTGGACGTGTGTACGTGAAAATCCTAAAAAAAGTACAAAAAATGTTTCACCAAACCTTCAAAGACAATTTGGCCGAGATATCGACAATGCTATGAGTGTGTGGCGCAACAAATTATTTATAAATTTCCATCATAAAAATAAACGCTTTTTAGAGTCAACCCTTCTCGGGGCCTCCCCCTATTCCGAGGAACGCCACAACCAGGACAAGTTACGCGAGAATGAGAAAGGTGTGTTTCGTTAAAACTCAATATAACACGTAAATTATTCAGTGCGTTGGAGAAGCAATTATCATTTTGGGTTTGTTATAAATAACCATTAACCATTAAATATAAACTTTATGTATAGCCGGCATTTGAAAACGGTCTATTCGCATTTTCCCGCACAGTTTATCTGCGGAAATTTATGAAACTCATTTAATTGAAACAATTTTTTTGGAAATCAAAGCCATATTAATAAATACCTTCCTTTTACAGTGATCCGCGACTCACGGGACTACGCGCATACGCTGGGGCGGACGACGATGCGCGTTAAGGTATTTATTATTATTCTTCAGTTTATAAAACATGATTCACGAAATGTTTAGTTTCTCGGTGAACTGGTTTTGGTACTTATTGTAGGCCACGGGACTCAATTTTGTCTTAAGAGCTCGCAATAATTTAGATAACTCCTGGCGGTAATTCAAAAATCAGGTACATTAATCGAATTGAAATACCGGAAAAGAAAGTGTTTCGTAACATGTTCATAAAAGCGGGTTTTTATCCCCTTTAATGGAACGCACAGTACCAAATAATAACACTAAACTAAATAATCTAATGAAGGTCTTTAAAATTTCGAATGAACCGGGGTCATAAAATAAAGTAAAAAATTATTGTTAAATTCAAGATTATCAAAATTTCAGTATTTCCGCGAGATGGACCCCACGACGACACCTGTGCCGCCAAAAAGGTCCGAGCGACCGCCGCCGCCGAAAACCGGGCAAATTTTGAATCAGACGACGAGTGGTGGTTCACAGGTAAAATAAGGAATATTTGAGGATATAGAACAATTAATAAATTTGTACTTAAATTCTTTCTATGCTATTTTCCGCCAACTTAAAAAATGTCAGCCGTAGCCGAAATACATACAAGTAAAATCATTAAAAGTCCGCAGGGTTAATGGAAATTTAAACATCTTTGTCAAAAAATGGCATTTTTACTAGTGTTTTTTAGTGATAGTGGAGACATTTATCGGTATAAAAATGATAACAGGCGAAAGAAGGGAAGCGGGAATTGCGCCGCTAAGAGACGTATGGTTTGTCTAAAGCGCTAAACATTCTTTTTTGCAAAAATAAATATTTTAAAGCAGCTATTTTCAATCCTCATTTAAATATTTTGGAAATTACTTCTTTTAATTCATTTTTAGCGTTCCCAGCAGCAGGTCGAGCCCTCTGCGATGCCGGTGGAGAAGCTGAAAACTAAACCGGCCATGCCAACAGCGGATGTGGTTGCGCAGCCGGCTTTTATTCAGCCACCACCATCACAGGTAGAATCAAAAATATGGACCGCACTCGATTTTTGCACCAAAAATCGGCGATTTGCGAGCAAAAATTCACCTAAGAAATCGAATTTTAAAAATATTCTTTAAGCTTTTTCGCTTAAAATATAAGTTGAAATTTACTCAGCTTATATAAGTTTTACTAAAAACGCTATTAAAATACCAGCGATGGCCTCCCAGTAATAACCGGATCGAATTTTCCTACTTTGGTTTTATCAAAACACATTTTTTGAAGACGTTCACGATGCCACCTCCGGCCGCTCCTCAATTCGCGCCGCTACCGTATCAGCAACAGGTACATTATTCAGCCCTATTAAATTTCAAACATGGAAAATGTTGTCAAATAGCAAAATTCGATACCTTTTATATCCCTTTTCTACTGGTATAACCAAAAAACATCGATTTTAGCAATCCCAACTCTCACCAGCCGCCCCTCCGCCATTCCCCATGTTTGCCCAGGTATATTTTATTAATTTTTGGGACAAATTTCAATGTTATAATTTGTTTTAATAACCGTAAATTTAATTTAGCAACAACAATTTGGAGCCCCGCCCCCCGGAGCCGGCCCTCAATTCGGCGGTCCGCTCAACGGATTTCAGGTCAGGTTTGGTAGTAAAAAATGTTTCTGGGCTTTAAAAAGTAAAAAATATGAAATGTATAATTTTGGTTCAGTTTCATTACCCTGATAGCCGATCCGTACGTAGTATAATAAGTTACGAGTTGCATAGCACGGCATGTTTGTTATTATAAATACTACTACCGCAAGAAATCTCGCGATTGCGTTGGTATTTCGTGAGTTCGTTATCTGCGGTCTTGTAACACTGCTTTGTAAGGGATTTTCAAATCATAAAGATAATACAGAAAAACACAACTATCCGAATTTAACGCTATTAAAAACATTATAATTACTGAAGGCATTAAAAATTGCCGTAAGCGGACGGAAAGACGGGAATATCGATATACAGGGTGTCCCAAAAAAAACGACCCATCTGGCATTTCGCCGTGTTACATCCAACCGGCCCCAAATTTGGACCAGAGGTGTATCATAGCCTAAATAACAACAATCCTGACTTACAGCCCCATAGCTACAGTAGTTTTAAAGTTATAACGAAAATACTGTTTTTCCCGGAATTCTGAACAGTTTTATCGGCTATCTTTTTGGACTTTGCATCGATTTGCATCGACTTCCGGCTGCGAATCCCTAATTTCGCTTATGAACTGGGGTAGTTTTGCGTTGTAAAAATTGCTTATATCGAAGCTTATTTAATTAATTTTACTCTGGAAAAAGTTTCTTACGGTAAAGAAGGCCTACCGGATCATTTTCACTTAATGTTTAGGGGGGTCCAATTCCACGAAAACCCTATGGAAAATGGAAAATAAAGTTTGTTTTTGCTATAACTCGAGAACGACTGTAGCTACGGGGCTGTAAGTCAGGATTGTTGTTATTTAGGGTATGATACACCTCTGGTCCAAATTTGGGACCGATTGGATGTAACACGGCGAAATGCCAGATGGGTCGTTTTTTTTGGGACACCCTGTATAGTCTTTTCTTTGTCGCGGCACGCAACGCGCACGCCGATTTGCTACGGTAAGCGGAGGCTAATCGATTAGGTAATCGAAAGCGAGAAACGCGTTGCGTGTCGCGGCGTCACTAAAATTAATCAGGAATCCATCGCCAAAATGAGCAAAAATCTTACCTTGCCTGTTCCTTCACAAATTAACATATTAGCCAGTCGGTGATTTTTAGTATTACTAGCCATATTCTCGATATGATCATCAGAATTATTATAACATTGTATGTCTATTTTAAAAATATCCGAAATTTTATATTTTTGATTCGATCAGCGGCAATGGATATTATTAAGTTTGATGGCTACAGATTTGCTATATCCTCTTGTGAAACATCATTTTTCAGCAATTCGCCGGCCCGAATCCCGGCGGGCAGCCGCCATTTTTGGCCCCGCCCCAACCCGGGCAGGTAAATTAAAAATACGAAACTAAGATGTACATTGTAAATTTTAGTTTACGCCCCCGGCAGTGAACCAATTCCCCCCGGCATTCCCTGGCCAACTCCCCCAACAGCGCCAATTTGCGCAGGTCGGTTTTGCAAGAAAATGTTTCGGATAAAAACAAGGGTTTCCCGTTTCGTTTTGGTAACAATCCATTCTTAACATTGGCTTCCAACGGAATCGAGAGCTGCTCCTTTCAAAAAAAAACCCCTTACAATTAAGGTTCTGAGTATCGAGGCGGAAGAATATCATTCTTCCGCTTCGATACTAGGAATACAATATTTAAATGGGTAAATCAATAAAAAAATTAATGAAAAATATTACAAATAAATTAGCTAAATTAAGAATAAAATTAATGATATCGTGAAAATCAAGAAAATAAATGGATCAAAATAACAGTAATTTGATCTTTTCGAAAACCATTATTATTGGCTACTACTATCTCATATATATATATATATATATATATATATATATATATATATATGAAACATAGGAATTCAACAATTCAATGTTGCTGAAAAAGCTTATCTCATCGCTTATCTTGAAGATTTTTTCTCTCTTTCTTGGTAATAATGATTATCGTAACTACTATATGTCACTTGTTTATTTTATAATACCTTCATGACTTTATTTTTGACATACTCCCACTGCGCGTAAGTATCCTCAGGGAGCGTGTAAGTGTTGGTACGGTGTATTTGAAGCGAATTATTATTATAATATTTATTCTTGGACACAAAGGTCAGTTACAAATGAAATGAAAAAGGAGATGGGTCCACAGTCGATCTTTAGCTAACGGGGGTAAAACATGATTTAAAAGTATTATTAGCAGGGTCGTAGAAAAAAGAAATTTCAAAGACTTTCTTCGAGGTGCACGGAGCACTAACAGCGTTTTTGGGGATTTCAACTCTTTTATGGGCATCTTCGTCAATCGACAAATGGCCTTCGTCCCCGGGAGTGTTGCGACAGTTCTGTTTGATGTGACGCACCAGATTGGAATTGGTCGAAAACTCCTTGTCGCAATTATAACAACGGAAAGCCGATCGGGCAGAAGTAGTATTCATAGAAATGAGCAAAGCCAAAATGAATGTGACTGTGACCCCATGCTCCTCCTTATATACTGTTTGGAACGGTGTGGGTGAGTGGCAGATCAAAATTGAACTTTGCCTTCAAAAAGTAAATCACATACAAATCGTCAATGTTTTGAAAAAACTTGATGACATCATAAAAGGGCAATCCAATGCACATTTTATAAAGGAAAATAATACAATAGATTCCGCAGGTTTTCGTACCGTAGGCTTGAAGCTGGGATTTGTTTGCAATAATGCGAGTATATCGACGTTTCAGCCATTTCAAAATGTCGTGGGGTGGTTCTCCTCCCAGAGGATCAAAGTAAAAAACAGTGCTCCCCTGGGCATAGAAAGCCACCCAATGTTTTCCTTCCGAAGAAATCTTGGCGGTATTTACTAAAAAAGCAGGGCGTGTCGGGCAGTTGGGTAGTGTGTCCGCGGCGTAGGTGCCCTGAAAAAGCCCCCGGGCTTCGGGGTTAGAAAATAAAATGGAGTCGATTTGGTCGTTGTTCATATTAGAGAGTGAGCGTTTGTGCCTGTCGCGCGTAGTCCAACGTCAATTTATCCATAAACTCGGCGTGGACAACGACCATAAGTCCACCAGCAGGGACGGCAGTGCTGAGCTCAAGATCTAAAGTACACTGGCCAGCAACGGCCATGTCAAAGCTGTCAATGCCACCATCGGCATCCGGCAATAGTTCAAATACTTGCACGCAACGCGAGTCCCGAAACATGGTATGCCCTATCCCGTTGGTTAGGTTACTACCGCTCATACCGCAGCCTTCAAGCATCTGCGTGTACGCTTCCGTATACCCCAAACCTCCACTAGCCCAAGTCAAACTCCAAGTCTTATGCGGAACCGTTTGCCCGGCAAAATGCACATTCAAATTTTTGATTGAATTGTGGTTGAAACGAAAGGGATCCGTCTTATATGACCCAACAAATGCTTCGTTTTTTACCAGACCCACAAAAATCCTGCGCGGGATCTGATTCGAGTTAAAGAGCTGCATCTCAGGCATTTTCAAAACCCCAGCAGGCATGAAAAAGCTCTTTGTTTGATAACTACGCATTGGGTAGCTGGCTTTTTTCCCGCTAGCCAAATGCCTTTCGATAGCAGCCACAGCAGACGGATACAGCTGATATTCAGCGACTACAAGGCGAATGTCATCAACTACAAGTTGCCAATCTTGCTTAGTGGAACCGTACGCGCGGATTAAAAAAGGATCGCTTTGTCTATGCAGCGTAATCTGGATATCTGTATTGTTTAGCATCAATTTGTTGGAGCTTGAAATATTCAAGTCAAGGGGGCAATTAACTTTAACGGCTTGGCCATTTCTGAAAAGAACGCTCAGGTTTTCAAATCCATCATTAGTTTCAACTTCCTGACCACTCTCTCCAGCATCATAGAGTTGCGGATGGCCGTAATTGAACTGCTTTACATTTTTATCGGTCATGAATTCAGCGTTCAGGAATGCGCGGTATGGATAGAGATCTCCAGAATTTTCAACCTGCGTACCCCCAATATTTACGGTTACTTGTTTCCAAAAGGCACGAGCAGCAAATTGAATGGGAGCGCAACGCTCCGTGAATGCGGTCGCTTTAGTGTTGTCTTCTTTTGTTACGGTTTTAGAATGTTCGTACCCCTTTCCCTGACTATCCACCATTCGTAAAGTCATAGTGACATACGAACGAGCAAAAGAAATAAAATTGGGTTCTTTCATGATACGGAAAGTGTAGGGGCCTGTATGATTCATGCTACTATTTTCCGGTGCAATACTACGGAAACGCATCGATTGTATACCTACAACATGTTGGATAGGGTCGAAAAGCGCAAGCTCGCTTGAAAAAGAAAGCTCAGGGTTATTTTCTAAAGCCTTGACGACGCTCATTCTTGGGGGGCAAAATTGTAAAAATGGAAACCTTTCGCTTTCGGCCTCTTTTTATACTACCCTCACCAAACATTTTCTGAGGCGGAAGGTCAATAGGCCGTTTCCTTATTTTTGGCTCATTTTTCAAGGGGGAGGCCGCTTTCCTCGGAATTTTTAACAAATTTTCAGCAGTCGTTGCAACGGGAGGTTCGAAAGTTTCAACGGGAGGCCCCAAGGCTAGTTTTGAGGAGGTGGGCAAGGCCACACTCTTTTTGACCGGAAGTAGAAATTTACTATTCCTAAATGGAGGAAAAGCACCACCGCCTTTTTGAAGTTTTGGTGGCTTACCTTTTTTGGGATCGCTAAAACCCCAACCTATATCGCTAGGACTAACAAGATAATAACTAGCAAAAGACATTATCGGTAATGGACCACACCGGTGGCCAACTGCTTAATATAGTCTTTTGAAATGAAGCAAGGCGATAGATTTTCCAAAATTTAAAGGCACGTCTTGACCCTGGTCGTCGGTTACAGAGACCTTTATCGAATTAAAACGACCCTGCTTGACGCGATGATATACCGGGGGGTTAAAAGTTTTTGTGCCCATCTGTCCGGGCTCAAAGTCGTTTGGAATGGTGCGTAGTAGCTCCAAAAAATTACCCCCAACCAAATGTGGCTCAACCAAGTTACAGTACACCCGCAAGTTCCGAGTGTTAAAACTCAGATCTGGCAAATATTTGGAAGTTTGAAAACCTGTCA